ATCCAGAATCTCTCCTCCTCTGACTGGCATTTAAGGGCCTGAACATGGGGTTGGGGGGTGGRGAGAAGTTTTTGCCAAAACCTGTTTCTGAGGAAGTTGCAATTCTTACCATGATCTCCCAGCATATTTGCATTGCCAAAGATACAYCTATGCCCATGAGTTGTGCAAAGGAAGGATGTAGCAAACCTTGTCATCCTGGTATCAGTTAGAACCTTCAGGGAGATCATGTCGACATCTGTGGAAGAGGAAGGGGACCTCAAGCGGGGAGACGAGGCAGAAGCCGGGCAGGGACAAGGAGATGACAGAGAGAAGATTTTAATGGAGTTCATATAGAAGATCAGTGCTTGTGTATAAAGTGATACCTTCCCACTGTGCTCCTCACAGCCAGCAATGTGGCATCACTTGTATCACTCCACACATGCAAAGCTGTGGACATGGTTCTACACCTCTCTTCATGCCTCTGTCACACAGTAGAGACGCTTGTGTGTCACTGCTTCACCATAGCTACACCCGGCCACCATCTATGCAACCGCATGGCATAAATAGGAGTTGTCACAGTGATGGGCAGACACTGAGGTGTCTGGTAGCACAACCCAAGCATTTGCAAGGGAGGGATGACACTGGATATCTCAAAGCTGCTACCAGGTGACACAGTCATGAACAAGACAGCTTGATGATAGCAAAGCAGTACATCTCTCTCCTGCTCTGTGCACTAAAGCAGAGCACTTTCAGCTGCTGGACTGATGGGATCAGTCTCCAGAGCAAACCTGAGAAGTTTTTCCCAGTTGCTGACTGTAGTGTTTTGTTTGATGGAAAATGCTGATTGGGATGAGGAGAAACATTTGGCAGATTTGGGTTGACTTTGCTGAAGCATTTTGATTGGGGAAAATAATAATTATGACTATTACTAGTTTATCATTCTCCTCAAGGTTTAATTAGCTGTAAAACAAAAGCTTTTGTGTTTCTGCTCAATTCAAAATGACACTTCCTCCCAAAAGAAAATTTTAAGGTTATTTTAAGACATGCAGAAATCGAGGTAGATGTTTAGTTAGATGACAGATCTTTGTGGGTTTTCCAGCTTCCCTGAGCTTTTTTTCTTTTTTTTTTTTTAATTGTACATCTCATTGCTCAGCTGTTTTGAAGCTCAATGTCTTTATTCCCCTAGTAATAAGTCACAGTACTCATCCAGCCAGCCAAGCTGGATCAGGATTTAGATTCATGAACTAGCAGGGAGCAGCTCACACACAGGTTGCCTTCTCATGCGTAACCAGGGTAAACATGTGCTACCTGCCACCACATCACCCAGAATCTAGTGCCAGTGTCTGGCTAATTCAGAGCATTAAACTGGAATGTATGGACATGTGACAAATCCCCACCGGCTCAGAACAACATTCATGTATGTTGTTTGAGGTGGGGATGAGCTCCTCTTCTCTGCCTGCTCTTTTCTCCACCCTTCCTGCCAAAGGGAATCACCTTCACTGCTCCAGCCAGCCAAGGGCTTTGTCTCCTTGAAGCACTCAGCCTAGCCAGCAATTGAATGAGAGTCTTCTCCCCACTTTGTCACTTCATCCCCATGGAGTACTGTGGAGTGCTGTCACTTCATCCACCTGGAGTACTGTGTGCAGTTCTGGGCTCCCCAGTATAAGAGGGACGTGGAGCTTCTCGAGAGGGTCCAGAGAAGGGCAACCAGGATGATTAAGGGAATGGAACATCTCTCGTATGAAGAGAGGCTGAGCGAGCTGGGCCTGTTTTCTCTGGAGAAGAGAAGGCTCAGAGGGGATATGATTAATATGTGTAAGTTCAGGAAGGGAGAATGCAGGGAGGAAGGGGACAAGCTGTTCTCACTGGTGGCCAGCGATAGGATGAGGAGTAATGGCCACAAGCTGAAGCACAAGAAGTTCCGTCTCCAGGTGAGGAGCACCTGGAGTGCTTCCGTCTCCAGGTGAGGAGCAACTTCTTTACTGTTAGGGTGACAGAACAGTGGAACAGGCTGCCCAGGGAGGTTGTGAAGTCTCCTACTCTGGAGGTCTTCAAAACCCACCTGGATGCCACCCTGTGCCACATGCTCTAGGTGTGCCTGCTTGAGCAGGAAGGTTGGACTAGATGATCTCTAGAGGTCCCTTCCAACCTTAAATATTCTGTGATTCTGTGAGAACATCATAGAAATCAAGCATCAAAGGCAAGGCCAAGGATGAAGGTTTTCCCAGCCTGTAAGAGCAGCTCTGCCAGGCCAGCTCACAGATGGATCTAGTCCAGCACACTGTCCTGGTTGGTAGTCTACTGACACAGGGCAAAGGGGTGGCTGCAAGGTGAAAGGGACAACCCCAGGAGAACTGGCTGTGCAACTCACAGGAACAGAGCCCAAGAGCTGGAGGTGTTACGAAAGAGATGTGTCAAAACATGTGCAATTGCATAAAGAAATAATAATATACCAAAGGCAGATAAAGTCAGCCTAAATCACCGCTCTCCCTCCTTCCTGGATATCCGATATTTCTATTCATTTTCCCTATCCCTAATACCCTGCTCCCACGTTCGTCTCTCTGTCGCACCAAGGAATTTGAGATTAACCATGACGAATGGACTGATTTCCTTGTCTAGGAGACTGTTTTCTTTTGCTGCTGCCACATCTGACAACTTGCATTTTCCTATAAATCCCCTCAATTAGGCCTTTGAAACAGCACCGCAGTCGTTTCCCTGATGGATGGGGAAGGAATTATCTTAACGTCCCTGGCAACCACTTCCTCGAACTAAATATAGTTCGGGTGCACTCTCGCTTCCCTCCCTTCACCCACAGTTTTGGCACTGGCTCAGAGCAGGCTCACCCCGCGCATCCTGCCCAGAGGGGGAACCACAAGGCCTGGGGAGGGAAAAAAAATGATGCCTCTTTTCTCACCACGACCAGGCACTGTTGGCTCCTCCACAGACCGAGAGGAGTGTGGGAAAACAGGGTCAAGGCCCGTGCGCCCAGAGGACCTGAACCCAACCTCCTACCCCCTGTCCTCTCTAGGGACTTTTGGGATAAGGAAACTTCATCGAGACCTCTCTGTGAGACTTTTACACTTTAATTTGGGCTAACTAAAGCTCAAGGTAACACAGAGGTGGCTATGGTGTCAGTCTCGTCCTGTCACTTGTCAGAGGGTTGAGATGTAAGGAGACCTAAGAAAGGACAAGTATCCTGAACTTAACCAGAGCTTTACATATTCTCAACCTCCTTTGCCAAAGCAATGACACAGTTGATTAAGTTCAGCTAATGCCGGAAGATTTATGTCTATGCTGTTTATGCCTTTAATTACTAGGCTGGGTGCATTTACCTTTTGGGTCTGGGGATGAACCATCCACACAGGTCCTAGGTGCAGCCCACCCTTGCTGGTGCCTCATCCTGGTCCAGCCAGCGGGGCTTGGAAGGGAGCAGGATGCATCCCCAACCAGCCCAGTTTGGAGAGAGACACCTGCATGTGTTGGGCATGTGGAGATGGGCAGGGGGAAATGTCTCTGGTTTCCAAAGGAGCATCACGACCAGAGGAGACTGCGGGGAGGGGAGTGTCAATGTTGAGGCAACATCTCCTGTGGTACCTTTATCTTCCCGAGAACAAGCCTTGGCTCTAACTTTCCGCCAGGAAAGAAAAAGCCGTAACTTGCTGAGTGGCTCTTTCTCCTGCTGCTGAGTCACTGCAAGCAGGTAGATCCCAGTGCTGTTCCCTGGCTCTGGCAGCAGTCCCTGAGCCCCTGGCTGCTCCCCCAAGCTCTGTCCCAATGCAGGGAGCCCAGAGGTTCAACGCTGGGATGCGGGGAGGGCTGTCCTGCGCTTGCAGCTGGGGCTGGCTGGCTGGAGCCAGCAGGAACATCTCATGGTCAGGAAGGAAGGGGAGAAATAAGATGCCACATGCCTTGTGCTCTCTCAAACCCTCACTGCTCTCCAGCATCTCCAGGACATGGGTCCCTTCTGAGCACATGTCCCGCAGAGCAATGTCCCTCTCCACACTGACCTGCTGGGCTCTGTGCTGCCATCCTGCCAGGGAAGCTGCTCTCCAAGCTGCCACCCTCCAGCTCCCCCATGACTGTTTTCCCTGTCACAGCCCAAACCGCTCTCTCCCCTGACACCCACCAGCTCCCCTGTGACTCAGGGGAGTCACAGGGGACTGTGCAGCCCCCTGTGTGTCCCCTGTTGCAGCCCAGTCTGCTCCCTCCAGCCCTGAAATCCAGKATCTCCCACAAAGCTTGCTCAAGCTGCAGGCACAAGAATGGACATGGTGGCACAGGGGTGGGAGCAGCTCATCTCTACCGGGATGTTGCAAGGGACATGGGGCTACTGCAGCCCTAGAGGATGTTTGGAGTCAGCAGAGCAAGAAGGCGCCAAAATCCCCTTCTCCCTCTGCAGGGGAGATGCTCAGGGAAAGGACAGATCCTTCCCTTCCCCCTGCACCTTGAGGAAGAGCAGTGACTGCATAAGTCCTCCTGCAAATTGCAGGCAAAAAGCCCTTTGCATCTGCACAGGTGTCCACAGTCTCTGCAGAGGCGCTTGCAGCAGCTGAGCGGCCGCCTTTGCAGAGGAATCAGCGCCCGCTGGAAAGCGGCAGGGCAGAGCCAGGAACATGGTGCCACCTGGGCTGGGCATCCCGTGCAGGGATGGCAAAGCTGGGCAGGGGAAGTGAAGGACTTCACAGGGAAGTTTTACTCCAGAAAGGTGCAGATGGAAGGGATAGCAAGAGGGAGAGAGTTGCAAGGCACTGGGGGCTGTGGAGGAAGGAAAAGGGGAGGAGGAAGTAGCGGAGGAGGAGGAGGGAAAGACAGATGGGAGGAGTGGGAGGATGGCGAGGAGAGATGTAACCCATCCCCAGTTGAGCAGGGGAGCTGGAAGACAGAAACCCAGACGAGCACCTCAGAGCGAGATTATAAAAGGCAGGAGCAGGTCGGGGAGGGAGAGCAAAAGGCACCTGCTTCCTCAGCGCAGCCCAGCCACAACTCGAGCCAGCTCTGTGACGGTGACAAGCTCCTTTGTACAAAGCCCATAAGGAGGATTTTACCCCATAAGGAGCCCAGCAGAAGTGGGGACCACTGCCAAAGATGCCTGGGCGAGCTGGGCATAGGGGGAGTTAAGGATGGTGCCCAGCATACATCCTACCCTCCTCCTCCTCCTCCTGCAGGTAAGATGCTCTCACGAGCCCTCTTCACCCCCCAGGTGGGTTCTCCTGCCTTCCTCCCCATCACCCCTTCGCCTCCGGGTTTCTCTTGAGTGACTTTTTTGTTGTTGCTTTGAACAAAGGGAAAAGTAAAAGGAGAAAACCAAGAGCCTCTGGGAGGATTTGTCCGGTTGAGGTGCRGGGTTTGGCAAGTTCCTGGTGCCTCCCAGAATCAGGATTGGGCCCTGGGGGGGCTTCTAGCCTGGGCRAGGGGGCAAGCAGCTATCCTGACCGGGAGAGCCCACATCAGGGTGGCTGGCCCTGCAGAGCAGCCTGGCTCTGCCTTGCACCTCCCAGTGTCACCAGCTGTCACCAGTTTCCCTTCTGGTGCTGAGGGGGGGAAGGGGGGGGCGGCTGCCCTGGGGGTGTGATGGAAGGGGACAGCGYGAGTGCATAGCCTAATTCTAGCACCTTGGTTGTTTTGCTAAAGAAACCGCTCCTTTTCTCCCTGCTGAGCATGAGACTTTCCCCTTTGCCTGGTTCACCGTAGCCCCAGCTCATTTTGTGGCTCTGCACAAAATGCAAATGCTTTGTCAGAAACAATATTCCCCCTCCCCAAGGGCTCATTGAGAAAGCAAGTGTTCCCAACCCAAAGAATGTTTAAATCCCATGTCCTGGGAGAATGATAAGGAAAGAAAAAAAAAGGTGTGTGGGGGGGTGTTCAGTGAAAATCTGTGCATTATATTAACAAAACTGGCTATGCATTTGCATGAAAAAAATAGCTCTTTGCTTAAACCTCTGTGGCAAAAGGGTAAAAAAGACTTCTCCTGGCTCCCCGCAAAGTGTCGTCTCACCTACACAGTTGCAATTGTGGAGCTGGGTCAACAGAAACAGCAGCGGGGCAGCCTCCTGCCTTAGCTCAGAGACAATTTGGACCCCAGGGCTGCTTACATTGCCCTGCAGCTGCCAGCTCCCAGAGCAGGGAGAAGGGTTTGGATGCACATTTGGAATAGGAAAGTTCTTGGATAAGGGAGGCAAAGGGCTAATACACAGCAGTCAAGTTGGTGCTGCTTCCTTTAGCTCCACAGCCCTAATTCTGGTTTATGAGAGGTCTTTTGCGGACAATTTCCCCATTTTGGGTTTTCCTTGGCTCTGATATAAGAAAAGGTGAAGGGAAAGTAGGACCTCTCCTCCCCAGGCCTGTCACCACCCGTGGGGACAACGTTGGCAAAGCCACAACCCTCGTGCAGGGTCTGCAGTGGGCACTCCTGGTGTGACCTCCAGGAGCAGTTAGTCCTATCCATCCCCGGCAGTGGGAAAATGGGATCCCCGTACAGCTGGTGCTCCTGGCAAAGCGGAGCTTCCCCAACCACATTGGCCAACCCTGAAAAGCAGCATCCAAGCTGAAAAGTATCCTGGTGTTCTTGGTTTTGATGAGGTAATAAATGCATTCAATAATCAGCCCCTCTGCCAACACAGCCCGATTCACTCCAAGTCCAGCATGGCCGTGGAAGGTGTCCTTTAAGCAAAATAAATGAGAACAAAATTTCCCCTGCAGTTTTGTCAGGGACTGATGACATCCCTGAGGCTGATAAAGCCATTTGGAAAAGCCCTGTTATTTAGTGGAAATAGATTTGATGCAGGATTCCCTCTCCTTCTTGTCTTCCCTATCCCACCCACTCCCGTGACCGTAAACATGAACCATGGCCACCAGCCCTATCACTGCTCAGGGCTCTGCAGGAGACATGGAGCCTGCAGCAGCAGGACATGCTCATCTGAAGGATCTCTGTAAGAACTGGGTTTCCTCAGGAGTCTGAGTTAATTCTGGGTGTATGAAATCACCCCCGTGATTTCACATCTCCAGCAAAGAAGTGAATGGTGATGGCACAGGCTGTTCCTAGAATAGTTGCTGCATTGCCATAGGATGAATGTATAGGAACAGGTCCTGAAATACAACCCTGCTCCTGGAAATTCAGCACAGAACYGCAGCAGCTCTGGCTTTGGAGTTGTCCCTGAGCAAGGAGCTCAGCCAGGGTCTGAGCCCCTTGCCAAGCCCAGGCTGTGGAGTTCTAAACCTTGCTCTGCCTTTGCCCACTGGGGTTAGAGAGCAGTTTTCAGGCTCAAAAGAGAGGTAGAAAAATATATTAGAAGAGAGTCCCTGGGCAAACTTAGCCCAAGAGCTATTCCCCAAGCTTGAAAGCTGTCAGTTAGGAGAAGATGGCTCTTCCTGCAGAGAGGATAACAYGCCTCAAGGCCCATCTGTTCTTTCTTTTCTTCCCCCAACTGTGTTGAGCTACTAAAAGAGACCCTGCTTCGCTGCAGACTGTGTGGCTCAACACGGAGCAGGACAAGACACAGCAGGTGAAAGCTTCCGGACAGGCTCCTGCAGGTCACAGTACCTCTTCCACCCCAAATTCTGTACTTTTTGCCCTGAAAATATAACAGCCAACGCAGCCAATGCTTTGATGTAGCTTGGGTTTCCTTATCTGCAGATAAACTGGAGGAAAGCTAGAGGTGGCTTAAATGGAAGAGGATGAGCCTACAAAAGGGGATTGCTGAGGGCAGCAGCTAAGAACGGGACCTTGGGAGGTAGCTACAAGAAAACCATTCTCCAGCCCCAAAATGTAAATGTTGGTGAATGCAAACACTTCCCCATATTTATGGTCTTCAGGAGAGTTTAATACAGTCTTAGAAAAATGGAAGAATCTTTTTCCCTACTTTGTTTGTGGCTTTTGTTTCCAATATCCATGCACCTTTTTTTTCTTTTTTCTTTTTTTTTAGCTGTCTCCAAAAACCCAGGCTCCCTTTTGATACATAAATAAAGGCAGAATTATTTACAGTAAGCAAAAGACACCAGAGCTTAATCCAGAGAAACCTTTAATTGCCCACAAATCAGGTTTTACAGGGCATTCATTTAGCCATGGTTGTTATTCTTTTGCTTGGTTCTGCATCCAGCCGGCTCGTCATTTAAAAGGAAGCGACTCCAAACAGAATAAATACTTGGAGCAAATATGCTGTCTCCACAAATGATAAGGGCTGGCCCTCTAATATGTGGAAATTCATAAATCCACAGATTTTACTGACAGAAGGAGTTGTTATCGCTGTCTGCTCTGCCTCTTCCTYGGGTCCCATTGCCCGCAGTGTCACTCCGTGATTCTTGTGCTGAGTCCTGATCTGCCACCTGTGCTTCGTCCCGCTGGGGCTTTCGACATGACTCCGCACAAAATGCTCCTGAGCCACTCAGTGGATGACAGGGTGCTTGTTAATTAGCTTGTTAATTAACTGAGGGTCTTGGAGAAGGCTTGAACTCAAGGGACCATCCTGTGCTTCCCCGTCCAGGTTACACAAGAGGCCAGTGAAGGGTGGATTTTCTGGGCTGGATGCTCCTTAGTATTTTCATTTATTACTTGAACTGAGGAAAGGGTATTTAAAGCTATGGAAGCCATCCAGATGGAGGCAATAAGAAGCTTCCTGGCTGGAGAAGATGGCTCGGAGGTCAGTGGGACCCTACGATGTGCTGGCCAGTTGTGCCATCCTGCATCCTCCTCCCTTGTGCTGCTCTGCCTGCTGCGGATTGCACTGAGCCCTTAAAAGCTCAGGGTTGAACACCCAAAGTCTGGCAACTTTTCCTGCAGGCTCATGGGCAAACGTGSGCTCAGTCTCAGCCACAAGGCCCTGGGATCTGCACTGCTGGTATGGAAGGAAGGATGTGGCATGCTATACTCAGCCCTCCTGTATGTCAGCATTGTCCCAAGAGGACACGTGCCCCGAAAATCAGCACGTCCCTGATGCCATTGACCTCTCCAGCTTTGCTTGAAGCTGCTGGATCACACTGTGTGACCTGGCTAATCGCTCTGCTCTCCAGTGATGGCTGTGGGCAGCGGAAACCCCAAGCCCCATTTAGGTCATTAATTAGTCTACAATCCATCCATCTCAGTGCTCAGAGCTGCCAGCCCTCTCTGTCACTGCCTGACATCTTGTTCAAGGCAATGAAATACCGAGGCTGGAGGGGGCAAGGCCATCTCTGGGGAGGGTGAGAAAGGGGGGCTGATCTCTGCCTCAGAGGGCAATTAATTAATTAAAGCTGTGGATTGCTTTGGAGAGGGAAATCACTGCAGGGAAGGTTCCTTGCTAATTATTATTAATTGAGCCGTGCTGCTGGGTCAGTGGCAGGGCAGCGGGACGGGTGCTGCCTGCGCACGCATGTGAGCATCGCTTTGTACTCAAGTTTGTCCAAGCAGCCCTGGCCAGGCAGGACGGGAGCTCCCGGTGCTGGTGGGCAGCGACACCACCTCAGCTCCCAGGCACCACTCTTCCCACATGCTCGACGAGGCAGAAAGGAGGAGAGTTTTAGGAGAAACCAAGCAGTTCATGGCATTATCGCATCAAGTCTAGACAAGCAGTAGGACAGGACATGATGTAAGGAAGGGAGCCGGACAGTGTGTTATGAATGAGAATCAGTGACTGCCCTGGCAGCTCCCTGAGCACTTGGTGCAGGAGCTGGTGGAAGGGAGAGACAAGAATGCAGTTGTGCATCCAAAGGGATCATGAGGAGCCCTCATGAGCCCTTTTGGCATCTTCTCATGCCTTCCTAGCATCTTACTGTGCCTTTCTCAAGCCTTCACATGCAGCCCTTGTGCTAAGCTGGCCAGATTCCTCTTCCACAATACGCTGGGCTTTGGCCTCTGAATCTAAACATCCAGAGGTACTGGGGACCTTGGTTTAACCTCAGCTCTATCCCTCATCGCCAATGACCTTATGGAAGAGGCGTTCTGGCTCCAACCCCCTGTGCCCCCCTCTAGCTGTAGTGGCCATGGTGCTTGCGGCCACTGTGTGCCGGCACCTCTCCTTGTGCCACATGAGGAAGAAGAGGCTGGAGCAGGCAAGCATTAGGGCAAACACATCTGTTATCACTTGAAAGCCATTTCAGGCAGGCAACCCCATGGCCCCTCTCAGGAGGGAAGGTTCTGCCACCGATGCCCACCGCTTTCTTTCACRGCTCCATCCTTTGGGTGCTCCTGGAGCAGTCCCAACACAGAAGCTGTCCTGGGCTCCATTTATATGTCTGCCTGACATCGCTGCTGCTGTCCAGAAGGGCTTCCCAAGGCAGTAAATAGCTGTTTGGAAAAGAGCAAGTGGGTGCTAAGCTTGTCTCAGCAGGTGAATAAATCCTGCTAATGCTTTGGTGAGGCTCCAAGGATTGCTAGGTGCTCTGGGATGAGAAGTGAGTGTTTATATAGCTAAAGAATGCTGGGAGGACCGTGTCTTCCCTACCTTGGGGTGCTTTAGAAGGTAAATGGCACTGAGGAAGGGCAATGGAGCACCAGGGACTCACTTAGCTGATGGAGAAGGAAGAAGCTGTACATTTTATAGGTACAACACAGGAGCCTGAAGCCACCAAGAACTGGGAACTTTCTCCTAAGTAGAGGAGGCTGTAACTTTTCTTGCTCCCAGACTAAAGTTGAATTTTCCTGAGGAAACTGGAAGCCCTCCCTTGCAAGCCTTGAGTCTAACAGTGCTGTCCCTCTGCCTCCTTACACTTGTGATTACTTTCTGTGGATTTAGTTTCCCYAGGAGCCTGCAACGGCCATGCATCTGGTGAAGCAGAGATTTGCAGGTGGTGTTCTCCAGCTCTCCAACCACAATGACGGTAGCACCTTGCTGGCCATCTGCCACAGCCCCCACTTGCAGAGGCTTCAGTTGTTCCTTCCAGGCAGGGCTTGCCGGCATTGGAAAATTATTGCTATTGCTACTGGAAACCGTAATTCAGCAGCAGCTGTTGCAAAACATCTTGCAAGTCAATTCCTTTTGATTGCCCAGGAGCTGCATAGCCACCGAGGAGCTGCTCTGAAGCGACTTAGCCCCATGAGCTGTGAGCTTTGCTCTGTGTTTCTTCTAGACAGACTCTTCAGAAACAGCATCGCTGTGCGGGAGCATACGTGGGGATGCCGTGTGTCGCCTGCATGACCTTGGTCTTCTCTTTGCCATGTTGCAGGCGCTTCTGTGCTGGGGTGGCCCAGCTGCAGCCTCCGTGCAGGAGCAGTACTGCGAGAGCCTGCCCGCAGCAAGCAACCACACAGGTGAGTGTGCTGATGTCCCCCTGCCACCCGTTGCTGTGGACTGGAGGGCTGGACCAGGGGGCCAAGGGGTTGCTCTGGATCAATCTGTGGCTCATTTTTCTGGAGTTCCATATGTTGTCATGTGCCAAGGAGACAGGCAAAAGTTGCAAAGCTCAGGAAATCTAAAGTTAATGAAAAATGGGTGGCTATCAGGCAGTGCACATTGGAGAGAGCTCTGCCCATCAATTGCTCCCGCACGGCCTCTTCTGCATCATGCTCAGGATGCCCAGAATCAAGATGGTCTTTGAGATCTGCTTCCCTGGGCAGAACCAGGAGTGTTGTCCTCTACATTCACTCCTCTTCCTCCATCCCTTGGCCCACAGCAACGGCCAGAGGTTACGGGTCTCCTGGTCCCTGCTTTTCCCAGGCCTGAGACTATGTCACCAGCATAGGATAGCCACTGCCACCCCAGGGCACAGCCACCCTCCATCCCCCAGGGACACCGCATCTGCTGCTGGCCACTTTTGGCCACAGATCCACCCACGAGAAGTAACAAGGGCTTTGGGAGGACATGGCAATGGGCAGGGGCTCCCTTGATCCTGTAGGTTTGATGGAGCTTGCTCATGTTCAATGCTTGTGAACGCTGGTTCTCAGCCAGCTAGGTCAGGCTCCAGGCGTGTTTTTTGCTCAAAATGAGCTTTGGTCTATATTCAGGATGCTATTTAAATGTCACCTCCGCTGCAACAGGTTTGGAGGGGGAAGGTGGCTGAGGGAGAGAGGAGCTGGCAGGGACAATGAGGAAGGTCCTCCCCRATGCAGGGATGCTGAAGAATTTGTTTTTCCTCTATTGAATGAAGACCCGAGCAGCCTCTGAGCAATTGCCCGCCTTGCCCCAGGCACTGCTAATCAGAGCAGCATGCTCCATCAGGGTGACAAATGGCCTTGGAGGCCATGTGTTGATGGATGGCTCCCCGCCACACAGCTCCTCTTAGCAACAGCTTTGAAAACTCCTCTAAAAAAAAAATACAGATTGCCAACAGTTCGTTCACCTCCTCACTGGCTGGCAAAGCCTCAGGATGCCGTGGGCCTTGGAACGAGATGGGTGCTCAGGCTGGCAAGGGGACACCAGCGTTTTTGGAGCTGAGGTTCCAGCCCTGGCCAGAGACAGCAGGACCCACCAGAGCCACCAAGGCTATCTGGAAGAGCCACAGTCCTGGGAACGAGGGCTACCAAGACATTGCAAAAAATCTCTGTATCAGCCCAAGCACTGCATGGCATCACCAGGGGCCTTAAGCATCATCACCATCATCAGGAACTGAAGGTGGAAAGCCYTGAGTGAAGCAAGGCTGCTAATGGGAATGTCCCATCATTGGTCTGGTCACCTATTTTCCAGGGGACTCAGTGCCCCTTGGCCACCATTATTCCAGAATCACCAGGGTTCGGATTTACAACCTCTCCGAGTATCCCTGTAATTTGATGGATTTGGGATTGGCTGGAGTATCCATAAGCAGCCTTGGCTCTGGGGAGGCTCAAGTAAGAGGTCCAAATTTGAAGTTAGCTGCCTTCCGTGTGTTACTTGTTTAGTATTGTTCAGCGTCAGCCCATATCTCTTTAAGCCTGGCCTGATTCATGCAATGATTTCTAAGGAGGGATATTTGCAAAACTGGAAAGTTGATTTTGAGGCTATTTAAGAGGGAGAATTGTTAGAATGATGCTAATAACTGCAGCAAGGCTGCTAGACTTAATTCTTTAACAACTGTACAACCGTAGGGAAATGGCRCGTGCTGATGACGTGAGGCCTTCTGGTCCCCCAGCCAGTGTCTCAGGAGGGTTCCTCCCCCMAAAAGTAACTCCTGCCACCACCAAAAGGGAGAAACTCTCAAATTAGGTTTAATTAAGTTTAATTTGCAAGAAATATAATCAAGATCAGCATCCCTTGACCAGGTCGGAGCAGTGCCTGTCCCAAGGGCTCCTGGCTCACAGATCTCTGCAGCCAGTGAATTTGTATTCCTGATGATTTATGTTCTCCGGGGATGTGGGAGCAGCTGCTGCTCCCCTCGCCCTGCCAGGAAGCTCTTCAGGGAGGGACAAGGTCATTTTGCCTGCTGGGGCAAAGCATTCCACAGCACCCGCATGGCCATTTCCTGCTGTGGCACTTTCCTGGGAAAGAAAAGGGAAATCTGAGCAGATGCAAAAGTGTCTTTCTAATTAATGATGCCTTCGCAAGCAGCCCAGCAGAAGCCATTCAAGTGGAGTGAGCCTGGAGCTCGCTCAAGGTTGTGCCATTCATAGCGTCCAAGTTTGGATCAGTAAAAGGAATCAGCACCCAATTGCTGCTAGCCCTGGCAGACACTCCTCACTGCTTTAGGCTGTTTGTTTTTTACCTGGGATTTACCTGTGAGCATTTCCTTCAGGTAGCCCTTAGGAGCTAGGCTCGGGAAGGAGTCTCATCCAACATGACAGCTCAACCGTGAGCCTCTCCACCAGCCTCAGCTCCATTCCCCATGCTGCTGCTGGGGCTCCAGCTTGCATGTTCATTCACTCATTGACTGCCCTGGGGAGAGACTGGAATTGAAATTCATAAAGGTCAAATTAACAACAGCAGTGTCTCTCATCCCTCCAGCCTCGCTGGCATCTCTCCCACCAAAGTAGAAATACCAGAAAGGGGTAAAGAGACAGACAGTGAAGGCTGACAGGGACTCAGCAGGATGGGAACATGCTGTGGGGCTCAAGAACTTGGCTTTGTCTATATGGCAAAATAATATTACTTTAAACATTGATAAAACTGTTTGGGTCATCATCTGGCAAATGAGGATATCAATAGGAGCTTGCTTCTATTCATAGGTTTTTCTTGTAGCTGGAAGAGGGAAGAAGGAGATGGTTGGGTTTTCTGGTAGAGAAAGTTGTAATGGCATCCTGGCACATCGCAGTGTGAATGACAGCTACAGCACTCAGACGGCACTGGGGACTGGGTGCTGTAAAATCATTGCCAGCTGCCTTGGAAAACTCCATTTTAGCCAAATTGGAGCTCTCTGACAGGATATCTCTGGCAGTAAACTTGCCCATCAGCAAGCCCAGGCTGCATCAGGGAATAAACCAGTGGCAGCACCCCGTGCTAATAACACAACTCCAAGAAAACAACGTGTCGTGTCAGTACAACAAGATATGCCCCAAAATCAACCCATTCTTTCATATATTCTAGGGGCACATAAGCCAAATATGGATCAGTCTTAACTGATGACATTGCACAGATACATCACATGCTGATGGCAAAATTATAAGTTTGATGTCTCTGATTTATCCTTCTCCAGTGTAGCAACAGAGATCTAAAGAGACAGTGATGATGGAGAGCAAYAAATTGAAAATTCATTACAAAGACATTTTGCTAACAGAAGACTTAATTATCCTATGCAATTATTTTTTATTGGAGAACACAGAATCTGGGGATTTTTTTAAGGACTGGACACTTACAGAGATCAATAGAAATATCCAAAACAGCACTAGTGATATGTGGTAAAGGATCTATGTACTCTGAGACAACCACAGCCACTAGCAGTGCAGCCCCATAGAATCATAGAATGCTTAAGGTTGGAAGGGACCTCAGAGGTCATCTAGTCCAACCCCCCTGCTCACACAGGGTCACCTAGAGCACATGACACAGGGCTGCATCCAAGCGGGTTTTAAAGATCTCCAAAGAAGGAGACGGGACAGCAAGACATCCTGAGCACCCAATTTCAGCTCCCTGATAATGCAAAGCTTCCCTCAGTGCTATTTCCCTTAGTACCTTGAGCTCACTCATGTGCATTTAGCACCTGAGCATATCAGGGGATCATACACAGCTGGAGAAAGAGTTACTGCACACTCATGAACCACCCTCCTGGGTGCAGCAGAGCCCTTAAATAGGAGCATACCCACCCAGAACCCCTTTCCTAGGGCAATAGGCTGTGTGAAGTTGCACCTTCTGCCCTATCCAAAGAGCAGTAGGTGCCTAGGAGAAACCCATGACCTTTTACCGCTTAGTTGCGTATTCRGGCACTGGCTGGGGAAGCTTATTTTGATTAGATGTGAAGCTGAAGCTCTGATTGTCAAATGCAAATGCTCCAGGAGTGACTACCAGGTGATGCCAATGGCCGAGACCACCACCAGCTCAAAGTGCCCCAGCAGCAAGGCAATCACATAGACCATCAGGTATGGACAGAGATAACTGTGCTTAAGAGCTCAGGACCAATAGATATATGAGCTAATGTGTTTTGGTTGTTACTCAGCCTCCTGAGAGGCCTCAGACAAATAACCCTGTYGCTCTCCTGCGTGGGAATGAGACTGTGATTCAGATTCTGGCTACCTTTCCAGCCCCTGGTTGAAATGCTAACCAGGAGTGGTACTTCATGCCTTGAAGTGTTGTTGGGAGGCAGAGGAGTGTGCTTTGATGCTTTGGCCATGCAAAGCCCTCCCCTTTGTAAGGCTTAGGGAGTTGTTCGCCAYGTTTACTCTTTGGGTTTGCTCAAACCCTTTGGCAGATTAGCTGGGGCTGGCTACCTGTACCCTGCCTGGCATTGTACATCTGTGTGGCTTTAGCTCAGAGCTGTTGCAGAGCTCCCATTGAGCAATGGAGGCAATTAGAGAAGCCCATCCTGTAGGAATGAGAAGTTTGCTGTGCTACTAAGAAAACATAATATATGTCCCTGTACAGTCTGTTGCAGGAGTTATAGTAATAGAGTTTTATCAGTGTAATTCCCTGGACAGGCCCTCTTTCTCCAGGTTAAAGGAATTACTTTATATTGCTTTRAAGCAGTCAAAACTGAACTGAAAGGAGAAAATTGGGTGGGAAGGAATTTGAGTGACTTCCCGTGTTCTGCACTCCCTGTCTTAAAGCAGGACCAGCTCCCTCCTATACAAAATGTGCCATTTCTGTGTGGGAGGGAGCCAGATCTGGGGACTGGGGTGCATGGAGGAGGCCCAACAACCTTTCTGTAATACTGCAAAGATGGTAACTGTGTCTGTAACAGCAAGAGAGGCTGAGAAAGTTGGAGTTGGAGTAATCCCTCTGCAAACATAGTCTGAGGAGCTGACACAAATGCGTTCAGCACCAATACATAACATTTCCATGCTAAATAGCACCCCAAACGCTAGGAGCATCTGGAGTGGGCAGTCATGCTGGGCAAGGGGATGTCACAGCCCCCATGGCCCTCCTCCTTTGCTGCTTCACTCACCCCTTCCCCAAACAGCTGATTGTTTTTTTTTTTCCCCTTCCCTGCATGCTGGAGAGAACAGCAAGAGTAGTTCTGTGACTGTGGGGGACCATGAAGATTTAATTGGAGTGCCCCACTGCATTAAGCTGAGTGCCTAGGGGTAACCTGAAGGTATTATATCCAACCTTTAGTAGTTTTATAACAGGACATTACTACCTTTGTCTGCCAACATGATCCACATGAAGTTGTTTTGGCTATTGGTGATATTCCCGCTGTTTGTTCTCCATTGCTTGAGCATCCTGTTGCTGTCAGCCTGCAGCTCTACTGATCTTTAATTGCTCCATGTCCCTGCTGTGGCACAGCCCCTTGCATGCAGGTAGGGAAACTGAGGCCTGGGGTGGCTGGGGAACATAGACTTTGTGCTTAGTCCCACCACCACAACAAAAGCTTTCAACGCTAGCATTTTCCCTGCATTTGTACCTTATGGGTTATTTAAAGTGTTTCCTAGTTCAAGTATTTATGAGGTATTTTGCCTGGGTGGATTCCCAGGTGGCTAATAGAGAGCATTCACACTTTAAATTTATCCTTATTGGGAGTAATTACCAGTTCTCCCTTCTCTACCTGGCTATATAATGCCATAAAATTTTAATCACAGAGTCTGTTTTCTGACCCTCTGCTTCTGAGTCAGTTTTGGGTCAAAACATCTAAAGAGCTCAACAATTGCTAATTGATTTAGATAAGCACAGGCATCCAACGATACATGTAGCGGTGTAAATGCATGGTGTTTCCCAAGAAATGTAGCCTCAAAATACTTAGTGAAGGTTGCTACAGCAACATACACATTAGCAAAGCTAAAAGCAAGGGTCATGGTTAAAATTAATTTCTCACTATCAGCTATGGGAGGGAGGTGGTAGCACTCACCACGCTCTGAATGATTCTGCAGCACGCATTCCTTGGATGACAACCTTTTTTTCCTTGCAAGGGTGTTGGAGAAAACTCCTTTTCACTCCAAACTTGCTCCAGGATTATGTTGCTCCAGGAATTCTATACAAGCCAAGAGCCCATTTTTCATTTTAGCAATGCAGAGACATTCTCCCCATGAAAATAATCATATCAATAAGGCAATATTTTCCTTTTGTTTAACTGGGTTATAGCAATCTCTGTCCACAAGTAATCTTTGTGAAGGCTTGCAAATAAGAAGAGATGTGAATTGAGGTGAATTGTCCTTGGAAATGTTTGTCTTAGCCCTGGCAGCTCAGACATCTCTGGTACCCAGGAGGGGTTTATACTGAACTCTGCCCTTTCCAGGGCCCATCCATCCTCAGATCACAGCTGCTTAATGACTGTATTGTGTTGATATTACATAGCTGTTATGCTTCCTACGTCATTCTGAGACATAGTTAAGACATTTCGCTATGGTACGTGTTATACTAAATATATACAAAATATATGTTAAAAAAAGATGGCGATCTGGCCTATCTAATGTCCACGTTARTGTACTTGCATAGCTGGGAAAAGCAGAAAAGTCTGTCTTGCAACAGCAGACAGAGCTTTCTTCCCAGCAAAGGCTGGACCAGATCATCACAGACAGTCGGAAAGGAAGCCTTGCAACAGGGAGGAGTAGAGGATCACAAGGGAGGCATCTTCCTGAAGCATCCCACCAGCACCAGCCTGGCATAACCCCTGGGAAACGCTAGGACAGCCTGGCTTATTGGTGGCTGGTGCTGAGTTAGATGCTAAAGTCATGGTCAAGGAGTAGCAGCGCAAGAAGACCAGAGCCAAGACCACAGGCAACTCAGGAAGCCAAGTTAGAAAACCAAGTTTGCATGAAACTAAGCTTCTTGGGTACTTAGATGGACCAGGGTGATATGAAGGGCCAGGCTGGCTCAACCTACCCTTGGAGACTCTTGACACAGAGGCTGTTTGGCATCAGTCTTGAAGGTCTCATGGGAGAAGAGCAGCCACCAACCCTTGGTGCAGCAGAGACTCCAGCCTCATCTCTCCCAGGATGAACCTGGGTCCTTCAGCATTCCAGAGGTGGACCCAAGATCTCTCTGCTAACTCTCTGTCTTTCTACTCCCACAGGTCCCCAGTGCAATGCTTCAGTAGACCTGATCGGCACATGTTGGCCCCGGAGTGCTGTAGGACAACTGGTGGCTCGGCCATGCCCTGAGTACTTCTACGGCGTGCGGTACAACACCACAAGTGAGATGGGCACCACCAGCAGGCATGGAGATGTGGGTGGTCAAGGAATGGGGAGAGTTTGGAAAGAGAAACATGCACTGGGGGCTAGGGGTACATGAGCAATGATAATTCTTATGAAAGAAATATCTTGCTTCCTGCAGAAAACATCAAGGTTTTTATCCTCCAGGTTTTTGCTCCAATGGGGTGTCCACATCATCCACAGACAACTTTACTTTATGGTGCTTTCATGCTGTTGTAAGAGTCTATTTGAATTAATCCATATTGGATCTGCCTAAGAGTCACTACCGTCTTTGTCCCGTCACCTTGATGAGGCTCCTGGTCTTGTCTGCTAATAGTAGAGCCCTGAAGTCACCCTTACACTAAGGCTAATCAGAGGCTGCTCTGTGCCTGTCACAGCTGCATCTTTCCAATTAGCCCTGTGTCTCATGGTCCCAGGGAGACCGAGCTTGCCAGAGGCTGAGAAAGCTACTAATGCATGGAGAAAAGTGCAAACTTCACGCTGTCATTGAAATAACAGTTGCTGGATGGCAGATGATCACTCAAGCAAAGTGTTCCGAGGAAGGGAAAATGTGATTAGGGCTGTTTTGTGCCTCTCCCATGACATCTCAATGTTCAGAGGCATCGGGGCTGCCAAGGAGCAGAATTGGTTCTCTGGGGAACAGGTAGGTCTCCGGCTCCAGCCTTTTTGAACCTGCTGTTGGTCCCCGTGGAGAGCTGCAAAAATCACTTGCTTTGGCAAAAACTTGAGACCATTTCCTGCTCTTTGGAAGCAGGCCTGGTCCTTAAATCTCTTCAATCTGATTGTTGATCCAGGGAAATCCCCCAAAAGTCAAGTGGAGAACCTTAGGCTTGACTAGGCAGCAACTGATGTTGTGACTCTGCCCAAATATATGGCTACTTGGAGACCAGACTTGGGTTTCCAGATTGCATGAGATACAAATGCTTTTTGGAAAGCAGTTTAAGCAGATCTAGAAGGGAGGTTACCAGATGTTCCCAGGGAAATTTTGGGGAACATGAGCATTTTGGAAGTTGTAGGGAAGCATGCCAAYGCACAGATCCTCCCCTTGGCTTGAAAGCATTTCCCCAGACCCTGCAGCCTTCTTGAAATGCCTCCTACTTTCTTGTTTGCTTGTAAAACAAGAGCTTTGTGGAGCAGGGCTGACACCCTGCCACACTGTGTTGTAGTCCTGCAATAGCAACCATGTCCTACTCTGAGCTGACTTTGAGGAAAAAGACTTCATAGGCGGATCACATCAGACACTGTGATTATTAATGACCATCAGATCACATTTTGTGTTTTCCTGGAGGTTTGTGTCCAGCCCATGCATTAACCCTTCCATGCACATCCTCTCTTGCAGACAATGGCTACAGGGAGTGCTTGGCCAATGGAAGCTGGGCTGCACGTGTCAACTACTCCCAGTGCCAGGAGATCCTCAGCGAAGAGGTAGGAGCTTGACTTGGCTAGGCAGGAGGGTACAGGGTAGGGAACAGCTTGGAAAGGCAGGAATGTTCAAGGGGGCTGTGGAGCTGGGCATGTATCACTGTCCAGTTCTTTAGTATACACACAGCATATAGCACCTTCCTCACTCATCTGCATTTTCACTCCCTGGAGAGGAAAAAGAAAGTTTTCTTTCCCTCTTAAAAAGCCAGGAGGATTGGCAGTGTGAGGTCCCCTGAGCCCTGGGTGTGGATAACAAGCCCTCTAGCCCTCTGCTTCACCTGTCCCTCCCAAAACAAGCCCTCAGTGCCAATCCTGTCCCTGGCTACTGGCAGATGACAATGAAATAAAGATGTTCGGGG